CAAACCTAATAATATAATCTAACGTAATTCACCGATCGGAGGTCATGAGAGAGATGCATCAACAGGTCGTCACTCTCCTACACCATATCAGTAAGTCCTTCTGGTCGTTCCTTCACCTCCCCTTTCTCACCATTATCTGTAAATGTCTTTTCCTTCAATTCACTTTAACTCGAACTTGAGTTAACCAATTCACTATGTCACCTTTTCACACATTCCTATTTTCTCAATCTTTTTATTTTTATCTTTTGTATGTCTCTCGTTTTAGACATAAAATTATAACAGTTTCAAACACAACTGGTACATATACATCTTTCCCTTTCTTCTGGTAATTATCAGTTAACCAGTCGGGTATTTATGAATTTCATCTTAATAACTATAAACTTGTTTGTGTTTTACAGCAAATTCAAGAGAAGGTAGTACAACTACTGCTGTCTCACAAGGATTAGTCACACTGTCTTTTTGGGAGTTTCGACTTAGGAATTGCTGGAAGACCGACTCAGTGCATTGGTGTATTGGTACCCCGCCACGGTAACCACAGACACCAAGTTCAGTGAAAATTATTTTGTTTCAGATCGCTCAAAGGGCGCGGGTGCTTGTGGTGTCTCAGGGTTCGCTACAGGGAGCGCAGATTTATTGAAGGCTATATAACATGAGGTTCATTGTTTGGTGATGCGCCCATCGACTGGAGCGAGATGTTGTTCCAGTATTATCTCCGTTAATATGAAGACTACCACCTTTCTCCCGCCTCGCCCCACGTCTCCTACACCTCTCCAACACCCATCAATGGGTCTCTCCAGCAACACTCCCCCGTCCCCCAAGGTCCCGCACCCAACACTGTGAGACCACAAACTACCAGGACCAGCAGAGACTATCTGGACCCGAGAGGGACTGGTGGTGGAGTGTGATGGTGGGACACTGGTGTGCCGCTCAATCTGGCGGGCTGGCGGGGATCAGTGAGTGTAAGGAACTGTACCGTTGAGGGCTTGTGGACAAATCCGTGTACACCAGTGAACACCTCAGGTGTATAGACAACTAGCACGTAGGAGAGGACATGCTGGCTGACCAAATCACCATGGTGTTTAACCATATGTGTAACTCAATCATGCAGCCACACACGAGTGTTTGTTGTCATCGAAGAAGTAGTTAGATCTTGGTCATAGCCTCACACTGCATTGCCTGCCGCCGCTAATGACTCACATTGACGCAGATAAAGAGTAACAAAAGTTATCTCTATTCCAAAGAAAATTATTTACTTTTGCACAAGTATAGAAATGTATTGTAAAAACTTAGGAAGAAGTTAATACACTTTGGAAGAAACGACCTTTATCATTACTATCGTCATTATTATTATTATTCAGTGGTGTCAGGTACCCTCTACTCACCTTTAAGCAACACTCGTCATAAAAATAATTGATTCAATTAAAATTATGACGCTTTTGTACAATAATAATTAAGGTGTGTTAACATTAGGATATCGGAACGCTTTTTGTTATCATTACGATATGAGAACGTGATAGCCTGTCAGGTGTTAACAGCAGATTTTTGGAACACTATTTACTGCCGAAAGAAGTAGTGAACATTACAATAAATCCGGAGATTTACAAGCATATTTTTGGTTTGAAGAATAACAGAGAAGCGTCCTTATTCGTGTGTGTGTGTGTGTGTGTAATAATAATAATAATAATAATAATAATTAACGGTTTATTAAAGGAGCATAGCAGCCAGAAGGCTGAAAATATACAGTTACATAATTGGGGAATGGGTTTCGATTTACAAATAATAAACAAGTAACATAAGTGATACAAATAAGATATGATGGAGAAAGGCTCAAACTACAGGGCATTTCAACATAGTGACAGTGCAAGAAGTAGGATTTACTGGGAGTGGATAACTGGTTTATTACAAGTTATTGATAATTTTTACAATGGTTGGGACTGGGTACGTATGGGCTGGGTGCGGTTGTGGTGTCGAACAGCAATTCTCGGGCTAGGGATCTCACTCAGGTGGTAGAAGGAGCAGGTGTCGAGGATGGTGCAGAAGCTTCTTACCAAATTTGCAGATGAGGTCATGGTGATGGTCAGTGAGAGTCGAAAGGGTCAGTGTGTTGAGCGCTTCTTGAAAAGTGGAGTAGGAAGGGGAGAGAATAATCTTGCATGCCCTCTTTTGCACTTTTTCTAGGTGTTTACGTTGTGTGGCATTTAGGGAGGAAGACCAGGTGGGGGAGGCATAGGTGAGCATGGGAAGTACGAATGTTGAGTAAACACTGAGGAGCTCGGATGCAGGAACTCCGAGGGACTTGAGTCGGCGGAGGAGGTGGAGACGAAAACTGGAGGACTTGACAACTTCACTGACGTGTGGTTTCCAATTTAGTTTGTTGTCTATGGTGACGCCGAAAAGCTTAGTAGAATCTACAACCTGGAGTGTGTTGGGACCTAAAGTAAGGGAAGGGGGTGGGACAATGTCGGAGGAGAGGTTGATGTGCATAACCATGGTCTTGGTATGGTTGATGGTGACGTGGTTGTCGGTGGCCCAGTTTTGGAGACTGTTCAATAAATCCTAAAGGGCGGTATAGTCGGGAGCAGAATTGTTGACGTGATCGTGTGTGTGTGTGTGTGTGTGTGATAATATAATAATAATAGTGTGAGGCTGGTGTGAGAGTGTGAGACTGGAGTGAGGGTGTGAGGCTGGTGTGAGAGTGTGAGGCTGGTGTATGAGTGTGAGGCTGGTGTGAGGGTGTGAGGCTGGGGTGAGGGTGTGAGGCTGGTGAAGGTGTGAGGGTGTGAGGCTGGTGTGAAGGTGTGAGGTGTGAGGCTGGTGGAGAGTGGAGACAAGGTTGAGAGTGTCAGGCTGGTGGAGGGTGTGAGAGTGTGGGTTGGTGAAAGTCTGAGGCTGGTGTGAGAGTGTGAGGCTGGTGTGAGAGTGTAAGGCTAGTGTGAGAGTGTGAGGCTGGTGTGGTGAGGCTGGTGTGAAAGTGTGAGGCTGGTGTGAGAGTGTGAGGCTGGTGTGAGAGTGTAAGGCTGGTGTGAGAGTGTGAAGGTGTAAGGCTGATGTGAGAGTGTGGGGCTGGTGTGAGAGTGTGAGGCTGGTGTGAGAGTGTGAGGCTGGTGTAAGTGTCTGAAGCCGGTGTGAGAGTGTGAGGCTGGTGTGAGGGTGTGAGGCTGTTGTGAGAGTGTGGGGCTGGTGTGAGAGTGTGAGTCTGGTGTATATATATATATATTAATAAAGATACAAACTCATAGTTGTCATCCCTGGTGGCCGCAGAACACACCCATGAGCTACGAGATGTGGAGGACCACATTTAAGCTACACACCGACATTGCTGTCGCCACACCTGTACACCCGCGCCTCCGTATCTCCTTCAGGTCTGGCGGGAGTGCTTACTGATGTTGGGACGGTGCCTCATGGTTTCTAAGTGATGTTAAAATTCTGATGGGAATATCTTAATGGTAAATTTTACAATATGTGTCATATATGTGATGTTACATTTCTATTTGAGATGTTCTAATGGTTACTGAGAAATGTTTCTTAAATGTGATGTTTACGCTGTTTATAAAATTATTTGCATAAGTTTTCTTATGTGTTGGGTTTGTCCTACTTAACATCTTTTGTGATGTTTAATTATGTTGAAATTGTGTTTTTAATGTGTTTTTTATTCCCTGTTTTTTAGTGCATGACCTCCACGACTCACAGCTGTACTGTTAGTGCTGCTTTTGCTGCTGTTCTCTATTGTCTGCTGTTAGCTACTTCCTGCAGCTGGTCTAAGAATAAGTCATTGTTGATACTCTTAGCTGTACGAGTGGTAGCTGTTACTGTTACCTGCTGTCACTCTATTCCCTGCCTGACTGTCGCCGACTTATTGAGATTATTTCACTGTTATTTCTCGATTTGATGCTGTTGTTAGCTCTTCTGTAGTAAGCGCTGTTGTTACCACTGCTGTTGGTAAAGGTGTCAGCCACAGCTATTCAGTAATTAACATAGATCCGAATGCTCATGGAGGCCACTTAAACTCGTAATTCAACGAAGGTGACATCCGTAATAACCTGGCTTGGATGACTGCATTCTCGATTCCATAACAGCAAAAGTCTTATGTGTGTGTGTGTGTGTGTGGCAGAAGGGGCCACTGACGATCGGTACAAGTGATGCTGTATGTCAAGGAAACCCAACCAAATAGTTATTTTGTTTATATTGCAACTTTAATGTGTAGGTGTATTGTGCAGGTGTACCGTGTAGGTGTACCGTGTAGGTGTACTATGTAGATGTACTGCGTACGTGTAGCGCGTAGGTGTACCGTGAAGGTGTAAGGTGCAGGGGTACCATGCAGGTGTACTGTGTAGGTATACCATGTAGGTGTAAGGGAGAACCTGGTCAATTTATAGCATTACATTTGCCTGTTTAAACTAACTTAAACGTTACTAAGTATTTGTGTATAAATATTTAGTTCATGTCAGAAATCTCTACACTAGACAAATATAAAAACCAAGACAAACAAAAGCTACAGAAACTCAATGTAAATTAACGGCATTAAAGTGACCATTTTGGAGTTTGACGGCCATATTGGATGTGAAGGAAATTTATAGGAAATTCCAAAGTGATAAACTGAGGTGTTTCCGGCTGAGACTTGGCTGTGAGGGGTCAACATGCTGCACTCGTCTCGGTGTGTGGTGATGGTGGCCGCTACCTCCGTCAGGCACAATATAAAACACAAGTCACACAATCATACATTATCTCTCGTGTCATAATTCACTGATGATTTCTGAGTCACTCTTGTTGTTATTGGAGAACAATTCCATCTACATTCAGCAACTAGATAAGTACAAGTGAGACCCAGGTGAACGAACACTGGAAGAGGAAAAGTTTGTGTTTATATTGAAGGTATGAGGAAAAGGTTCGTGTTCACCTCACTGTGTGTGGCTGTTAACCCTTTGAGTGGCAGTGGTTACTCTCAGCTGAATAAAATCTTCTGGCGTCAACCAGAATATAATACCTAAGTGGGACACTGCCCTTCAAACGGTTTACCCCTGCTCGAGGAAGATGGTCTTTGTGCTACGAACAAATCTTATGCAAAAGTGTTGTAATAAAACAAGTGTTACAGCGTCATTTATAATTTTTGTTTTGTTGGTGAGCGTTTACCAAGAGGATAATGTTAAGGAGAGTGACAAAGATGGTGAAATATATAGTGAGGAGGCTGGTGAGCAGAGGAGAGGACCACTTGTTTACAGTGGAGAAACAGGCCAGACAGGTGTGTCAGTAAACAGGTGTCGCTCCCTCTTCACCATCACTGGGGTGCCAGATGAAAAAACACTTTTCGCGGCTCACCTGCTGCAATATCCTGCAGACAACAGCAGCTTGACGAGCGACAGGTGGACGCCGCTACACCCTCGGGGGGACCAACACCTGTCAGCGGGTGTCAAAGGGGTGAGACACCTGCTGCAGAAGAGGTCGTCGTCGTCAGGAGCTTCCACCGAGGATTACCGCAGTCTGGCGGCGCTGCTTCCTACACTCTTAACCTTTGAACACAACACTAACAAGAGTCAAGAGGATGACCAGAGGATGGAAGGTCAAACACCCATCCTCCGCCTCAACAGTAGGATTGATGCCAACGGCGGAGTGTTGCCCTACGTGCCCTGTGCCATAGTGCCCTTTGACCACCCACCCTCCGTCACCGCCTGCTTCGCCCACAGACTCAAGAACAACAATTCCTTCTGGATCGCTTTTATGGGCGATTCAAAAATCAGGGCATTGTTTTTTGAGTTTCTTCAGAGAACCGACAGTGAATATCGGTACCTAATCCACCTTCTGGTGAGTCACTGATACTTCTGAATATTCTCACTGACTGATTATATACAAACCTCTCTTTCTCTTTCTCACTCTGACATATAAATATATATATATATATATATATTAATAAATATAAAAACTCATAGTTGTCATCCCTGGTGGCCGCAGAACACAACCATGAGCTACGAGGAGATGAGGAGGACCACCTTTAAGCTACACACCGACATGGAGGCCGCCACATCTGTACACCCGCGCCTCCGTGTCTCCTTCAGGTCTGGCGGGAGTGTTTACTAATGTTGGGATGGTGCCTCATGGTTACTGAGTGATGTTAAAATTATGCTGGGAATGTTTTAATGGTTAATTTTACAATATGTGTCATATATGTGATGTTACATTTCTATTTGAGATGTTCTAATGGTTACTTGGAAATGTTTCTTAAATGTGATGTTTACGTTGTTTATAGTCATTATTTGCATGAGTTTTCTTATGTGTTGGGTTTGTCCTACTTAACATCTTTTGTGATGTTTAATTATGTTGAAATTTTGTTTTAATATGTTTTTTACTCCCTGTTTTTTAGTGCATGACCCTCACGACTCACAGCTGTACTGTTAGTACTGCTTCTGCTGCTGTTCTCTACTGTCTGCTGTTAACTACTTCCTGCAGCTGGTCAAAGAATAAGTCATTGTTGATACTCTCAGCTGTACGAGTGGTAGCTGTTACCGTTACCTGCTGTCACTCTATTCCCTGCCTGACTGTCGCCGACTTATTGAGATTATTTCACTGTTATTTCTCAACTTGATGCTGTTGTTATCTCTTCTGTAGTAAACGCTGTTGTTGTTATCACCGTTGTTGGTGTTGGTGTCAAAGCCACAGCCGTCAGTAATTGGGTCACAGTTTCAGGATGTTCATGGAACCAACGCCGTCTAAGATTCAGGAGACTAAGGAACTGAGACAACTAAGTCGGTGGGCCAGGGGGGAGGACTCCCTCCCTCACATCCTTATAATAGGTAAGACAACATCCGCCACAACACCTCCACTGCAAGCAGTTAGTGGGCGAACCTTCGTCTGGGGTAGAATTTAAGACCATGATATTATAAGGTAGACTCTTTTGTAAGACCTGCAGGTAGGGGGCGGGCGAGCGCTCGTCTGGCGTAGTTTCAGTTGCTGTCTGAATAAGCCCGTGTGATAATATTGGCCCCGTATTCTGTTTTAAACATGAAAAATATTTACATACTAAGTAAAATCATGATAGATATTTATTGTCTTGTGTACTGTACAATAATGTACTGTACATATTTTGCGTGAGAACAAAAACTGAATTCACTCCCGTTTATTGATGTTAAACCAAACCTAATATAATCTAACGTAATTCACTGATCGCGCCCAAGCTTATCGAAAATAAAGTATATGAAAATCGACTTAATGCTCTTAATTTTTCTGTATATAGTATGTATATAATGAAAGGAGACTTTTTTCTGTCATATGTGTACATTTGTATAGCAACATGGTTTGTTTATCATTATACTTATCTTACCATTGTAACATCTCAGTGCCGGCAGATTGTGTCACACCCACCATAAGGTTGACCCTGCCTGAAGGTACTCTTATAGGGATGAAGTGTATAGGAAACTTGTTCCTCGGGGCTGCACCCATAGATATAGAGAGCCTTCTGGCTGCCAAGTTCTTTCAATAAACCGTTAATTATTATTATTATTATTATTAGAGTCAGTGTAGTACATCTGTCCTCAGGCAACACCAGGTATAACACAGATTGATGGATATTTAGAGAAAGACAGATGAGAGACAGGGTGTATTATACTCGTCCACTTCCTCAGGCTACACCTCGTGGATGATGCAACTTATGATGATGAGGAGGAGTTACACCTCCGACGTGCTGGAGGTCATGAGAGAGATGCATCAACAAGTCGTCCCTCTCCTACACCAGGTCAGTAAGTCCTTGTGGTCGCTCCCTCACCTCCTCATCCTCTCCGTTATCTTGCTAATGTCTTTTCCTTCAATTCACTTTTACTCGAACTTGAATTAACCATTTCACTACGTCACCTTTTCATCCATTCATATTTCTCAATCTTTTCATTTTAATCATGTGTATGTCACTCGTTTTAAACATGAAATTATAACAGGTTGAAACACAACTAGTACTGTACTATACATCTCTCCCTTTCTTCTGGTAATTATCAGTTAACCAGTCGGGTATTTATGAATTTCTTCTTAATAACTATAAACTTGTTTTTGTTTTACGGCAAATCATTCAGGATAAGGTGGAAAAACTACTGATGCCTCACACTGGATTAGTCACACACTGTCTTTTTGGGAGTTCAACTAAGGAATTGCTGGAAGGCCAACTCAGTGTATTGGTACCCCGCTACGGTAACCACAGACACAAAGTTCCATGAAAATTATTTTGATTTCAGATCGCTCAGAGGACTCGGGTGCTGGTGGTGGCTCAGGGTCGCTACAGGGAGCACAGTTTTACTGTACCAATCTACAACATGGCGTCAATCTTAGGGGATGCCACCTTCGACTGGAGCGAGATGCTGTTCCAGTATTATCTCCGTCAGTATAAAGACCACCATCTTTCTCCTGCCACGCCCCACGTCTCCTACACCTTTCCAACACCCATCACTGGGTCTTTACAACAACACTCCCCCGTCCCCCAGGGTCCCACGACCAACACTGCGATACAACAAACTACCAGGACCAACAGAGACCATTTGGACCCCAGAGAGACAGGTGGTGGAGTGTGGTGGTGGGACACTGGTGTGCCTCTCAACCTGGCGGGGATCAGTGAGTGTGAAGAACTGTACCGTCGAGGGCTGGTGGACAGCTCCGTGTACACCAGTGAACACCTCAGGTGTACAGACGACCATCACGTAGGAGAGGACGTGCTGTCTGACCAAATCACCATGCTGCTTAACCTTATGTGTAACTCGATCATGCAGCCACATACGAATGTTTGTTGTCACTGAAGAGGTATTTGATCTTGGTCATAGCCTCACGCTGCACTGCCTGCCACCGTTAATGACTTACATTGACCCAGATGAAGAGTAACAAATGTTATCACTATTGTAAAGAAAATTATTTACTTTCATACAAGTATAAAAATGTATTGTAAAAACTTAGGACGTTAATAATCTGTGGAAGAAACGACCTTTTTATCATTCCTATAATCATCATTATTTTTATTATTATTATTCAGTGGTGTCAGGTACCCTCTACTCATATTTAAGCTACACTCGGCATAAAATAATTGATTCAATTAAAATTATGACACTTATGTAAAATAATAATTAAGTGTGTTAACATTAGGATATCGGAACGCTTTTTGTTAACATTATTATATGAGAACGTGATAGCCTGTCAGAGGTTAACATCAGATTTTTGGAACACTATTTACTGCCGAATTAAGTAGTCAACATTACAATAAATCCGTAGACTTAAAAGCAGATTTTAGCTTGGAGAATAACAGAGAAGCGTCCTTATTCGTGTGTGTGTGTGTGTGTGTGTGTGTTTAATAATAATAATAAAAATAATAATGAACGGATTATTGAAAATGTTCTGCCTCCCGAAGGCTTAAAATATACATTGGACATAAATGTCTTATTTCATACATTGGTGGTTTAACAAAGGCCTTCATTAGAGAATGGTAAAAGAACATACAGTGAACATACAGATTAATGTAGGTTTTCAACAGCAAACACGTAGTGTGGTAAGTCCCTCCCAGATGGTGTTATGAGGGGCATCACGTGGTGTAGTAATTCCCTCATAGATGGTGTTATGAGGGACATAACGTGGTGTAGTAATTCCCTCACAGATGGTGTTATGAGGGGCATCATGTGGTGAATTAATTCCCTCACAGATGGTGTTACGAGGGGCCTGACGTGGTGTAGTAATTCCCTCACAGATGGCGTTAAATGAGTGAGGTGTGGTCCCAGGCCTTCCTATCGTGGACGGATTAACACAGCGCTAGTTGTTGTTGGATCTCACTGGGTACCTGGATCCTCACTGTATGAAGGTTAACTTGGGTATGACTCAGTTAATGTCGAGTTGTTCTCACTGATTTAAGCACTGTTCACCACTGTTCAACACTGGTTCCATTCCTTTACTAAATGAAATTGTAACTTCTAGGGAGACCTTGTTGATATTTCGGTGGGAAGAAGGGGTTCAGGGGAGGGAGTTGGTATGGGCCAACTTAACAGTTGACCTGGCTGCTCCCAGAGGAGCGCGAGGTTCGTCTTGACCCTTTGTAAAGGCCTGGGACTTAGGGATATGACTCCCTTGCCAGCCTAATCAGGATCTTATAAAAGGAAAGTCAAGAACCATGGTTTTCTGAGGGATAACAAACAACCGTTCGAGATTGACTTCTCTTTACTATGAAAATAACACAAAACTCTGACACCACCCACACAAATTTCAAATAACAATTACGGGAGTCAAACAATTAAAGGAGTCAAACAATTAACAGGATCAAATAATTAATGGAGTCAACATTTAAGGGGAGTCAAACAATGAACAGAAATATTTCCTAAGGTGGTGGCCCGGTGAACGGTTCCGTAAGGCAATGATCCGCTTGCAGAGGGGGGGGGGGAGGTTAAGGCAGCGGTGGCCGGTAATAAAGTCACAGGAAAAAAAGTCACAGAAAAAAATTCACAATTTTGGCTAGGAAAAAAAAGTCACAGGAAAAAAGTCAATTTATGGTGGCCGGTAATAAAGGCACAAGAAAAAAAGTCACAGAAAAAAAGTCACAATTTTGGTTAAGAAAGAAAGTCAGGTAATCAAAAAAAATATTCAAGTCAGTCACAGTTTATTTAAGTACCACAAACAATTAAAGTAATAAAACTGAAAATATTTTAATTCAGTTATTAACTGGCAATACATTGACAACACTATTTATATATGATGGCATTACATGTATGTGAAAACAAATCACGTTTTGTTCAATATCTTAAGCACAGTAAGGTAATCAAACAAAAATATTTAAGTCAGTCATTTATTGACAGTACATGACATGTACAGATTGAAAAAAGCTTACAGAATATCATGGCATTACAAGTATATTCAGTGTTTTTAATGCTGATGATTAAGACGAATATTCCAGCCGACGCCACGAAGAAACTCTGCCACAGTCTTGTGGTCCTCCCGTCGACCAACACACAAGTTGCGAATGCGTTCTTGTAGCTGCACATAGCGTCGACGAACTCTTCTTCGAGGGGGGGTTGCCAACACCATCCTGCTGGATAATGGTGCTCACCGTCGCTTCTTCACGTTGAAACCATTCAATGACACGCCAGACTGAAGGATGGTAGTGACCAACGAGGATGAAGAATTTATTATTCCACCCTTCGCAGATGTTGTTGGTACGAGCATTGTTGTTCATGGTGGCGTCATGCACATTCCATAGGTGAGGGGGCAAACATAGGTGGAATATGACGCATTCTCAGAGGCATCAGGGCATCACTGGACATGGCAACTGGCTGCTGAATCGGTCGAAAGGAGCCACTAACATAAGTACAATCGAAGTACATGAGCAACTCCTCGGCTTCAGGTGGATCTTGTGGAATGACAGTTTTGAGGTATCTCATACCTTCATCAACGTTGTCTAGGGGCAAATAAGCTAGAGCATCAATCATGCCACAAAACAAACGAAACTCAGCATTGGTATTATAATGTGTTCCCAAACCCAGTTCCTGGATCTTACGCCAAGTGGACTGTGTAAGATGATAGAAACAACCTTTGCTCTCTACATCGCCGCCAAACACTGTAAGAACAGCTCTCAGTACACCATCTACAAAGTCAGTCACCACGGTTTTCACAGTAATAGAATAGTTTAGGTCTGCACACTTATCAACTATAGCCTGAAGGAGTTCTTCGTAGGTGGCACGAGTCTTGTTTGGAAGAAGAGCGAACACTGAAGTAACAACTGTATCACCGAAAGGCACACGGATGACATAAATATGTTTGAAAATATTTGGAGCCATAGCAAAGTTGCCATCCATATATAGAGTATCAGCACAAGCAAGGAGTCTGAGGCCATCACTGGTACCAAACACTAGAAGGCGGTTGTTTGCATTTGGTCCGTTATCATAAGAGTAAAAACTCCTCGGGATTAGGGCCAACTGTCTGAGAAAACTCAGTAGGAAGTTCACCTAGATCTTTTAGCAGACGTGGTATAGGAGGAATAGGCCGTTGGTTACGCAGAGTTCGTTTGCAAATGTCAGCAGAGGGTATAAGTGAGCGTACGTCATCATCACACTGGCTCACAGCATAACTAAAAATCTGAGCTGGCTTGTCTCGAGTGTTGGTAGCTTGGTCTTTCATCCAGTTGCGTATTTTGGCAAGACGGATTTGGTTCTCATCTGGGGCATGGTTGTGAGGCTGACCTATCGCTGGATTTTCTCTGTAGGTCTGTTGTCATACTGCCCCGACAGTGACCACTGGATCTTTTGACACACTTCCACCACAACTTGCTTTTGCGAGTGACATGTTTGGTATACATGAACCCAGTGTAGCAGATTTTTGAACCACGCCCGGGCACAGACGGTGGAGAGGGCGTGGAGGAAGTGGCGATGACGTGACAGCCGCGGTAGTAGCTGGAGCAGGTGTCCGGAGATTGACAGCCGAAAAGTGAAGGTCTGGGGAATCAGCCCACGAGTCCAAGACCTCATAAGAACACAACCAAAGTTTGAACGAACAGCGGGGTGTAAGTACAGCTGTGTTGACGGCTGGGTAGTGTCTGATGTGTGTAGAGGCGGCAGTGACGTTCTCAACTCCGTCTACCCCCCTCACCCCAAGTGGGTGACGCGAACAAGCAAACGAGCGCCGGGACACCATCCTGCTCGTTACAGCCCTGACACAGCTCCCCCAACAAAAATCTACTGTAAGGTAGATTAAAACTTAAGATTAGTACAACAAAACATAACCATCCTACAACAAATGTTTGAATATACAGAGCAAAATAGAGAATGGTCACATTAAAAAGAATAAGGAGTAACTTGATGTCCAAATATCGTAAGGCAGTATCAAGGAACTGCACGTGGGATCCACTTCAGTCCAGGTTTAAGTTTGGGCCTATTGCCAGTCGTAGAGGATTCTTCTATCCCGTTCAGTGTTATCGGTAACTGGCAACCGAGAACATCCAAGTCTGGCGCCTGAACTTTACAGAAACTATTGCAGGGTAGTGCTTCGACTGACTCCAGCTTGGGAACGTCATCAAGGACACGAGCAATGTGGGTCCTGCAATTATATTTCCTTAATAAATTAGCTTGATAGAATTTAGGCTTCTTAGAGGAAGGGGTGAGAATGGTCCAACAAAATCTTTGTCTACCCGAGAAAATGGTTCTGTAATGATGAATAAGGGCTTAACTGGAACAGGACGAACTCTACTCTTGGCGAACATACGTGGTCAATGTTCACAACTCCTACAAAAGGCTGTAATATCCGCTCCCATACTTGGCCAGTAAAACTGAACAGCAACCTTCATAGAAATCTTTCTACGCAAACAGTGTCCTGCTAGAGGGCTGTGGTGAGCTATAGTGAGAATGTTGCTACATCAGCAGGGACAGCATGCAGAAACCAACCTACTTTGGCTGGTTGCTTGGATGACACACAAGTCCTATGTAACAGATCATTAATACAAACAAACTTGTAAACAGACCCATCTCTAACCTGATTCTCCTCCCCTAAAGTCACCTTCTCCCTTACCAGCGTCAGAGTGGTACCCGAGGCTTGAAGTTGGCGAACTCCTTGGGTGTAACAGTCAGTGGCAACAATTTCGGCAGAATTAGGGGATGCATTCGTTTTACCTAAGCCGACCGTGTCTCCACAGCTTGGACCTTTGCTGGAGGTAAGGTGGCATGTGAGGGCGGCGAGGCGACGTCGGCAGGTGGCGAGGAGACGTCGGCAGGTGGCGAGGCGACGTCGGCAAGGAAACTGGCGCTGGTGGAGAGGAGAGTTTTAAAGGTTCTGGGTGGTTAGGGTCACGAACTCCGGGAACATTACCAATGAGAACGCTAGCGATTTTAATGGGCGCTCTTACCATATGAGACCAACTAATGAAATACGGGCAACGCAGATAGCACCTAACAACAGGGAACTGGTCAACACGACCTAAATAATCGGCGACACTAACCTTCGAGCAGCTGGAGACGTCAGCGTCAGGCAGGGCTTCCTCAGAGACAATAATGCAAGAGGAACCGGTGTCCCTGATGAAAGTAAATGCCCAAGACCTATTTATTGTTCCGCTGACACAATAACGGGGGCAGCTCCTGTCTTCCAAACAGAATCCGATCGTGTAGCTGGGCTGATGAATGTCGGCAGAATTGAAGGCGAGGGAATTCATTGGACAGCGAAAACGAATGTGCCCTTCTTCGCAGTCTTGGCACTGAACGGCTGGTGAACTACTCTTCTCTACTCTTGTGAATGGTTCCTCGGAGGACGGAGACTTCGTGTTCTTCACAGCTGGAGGGGGAGACTTGGGGTAGGCGTTGTGAGCGGACGCCCAGTTGTCAGCAAGTTCTACAGCTTCTCCAAGCGTCGCTGGCCGGTGTTCCTTGATGAAAAT